GACAAGAGGCTACTACTAGTTCTAGTAAGCCAAATGCTGGGGCCCTCAATTGCATTGCAGCTCTTTGCGGGACATAGGGCGTGGCTTGGGCGTGGCAATTTTTATTATTTGATGTGAGTTTTCGGGAGATCCGTCGTTGCGAGCACCGTTTTCCTCGAAAATAGGCTCATTCGATTCGGACCGAGGATTTGGAGGTCCCACTAGCCGAGAGACCCCACCAAAAGGTCTATGTACTTGAAAACCCCTCCGGCGGCCCATCAAGGCCACCGGATCAATTGATCCAAATCAAATGTCAACATCCACGCCGTCGATTTCCCCACTGGCACAAACTCCAGAGGCAGAGGAGGAGGAGGAGGAGATAATGTTGGAAGCTGTAGTTAGAGTCGAGACTAACTTAGTAATACCGGCCCGGATGTATCATGTGATCAACTTTAAATTTTATCTTGTCTTCTCACTCCCGGGATCCAATAGGGGCAGTCAGAGTAGAAATTAAATACTACCCGATTCTGAGTCCATTCTCGGAATTGTTTTGCATCAAAATCATGTGAGCATCGCTCAGAATCGACCTCAACTTTGACCTCAACTTTGACCGTCCCTTGTCTGAAGTCCATTCTCGACGCGATTCTCTCCAATTTATATTTTCCCCACTTCCTCTCTCACTCAAACGAGTCTACGACTCAGTAGTACGAGATGAATTGATATTCTTGGTGGCTGTACACATCATCTGCTCATGCCTCTAGCGGCTTGTTGTGCCCAACGGGCGGGCACTCTTTTAAAGTCATACATCAGAAACCACAAAGGACGACACCGACGTGCCCTTCTTCGTCGACTTAGGACTAGCAGCAGCACGAGCCCAACAGGCCAATCCAGCAGCTCATACTTCCGGCCTCTTTTCATGGGTTTCTCTCCATTTTCAAGTTCCTTTGCTTCGGCGGCGGCGACAGCAGCAGCCTTCAAGGCCTTCTCAGAGATTGTGGCTGCTCTCTTGGTCATAGCGAGGATGGGACAGCAATCAGCGGGTGGTGAGCAGAGGCAGCGGCGGCAGATATTTGTCAGCACAAGTAGGAGTCACAAAGCTTGTAGTCGAGGAGAATCATATTTTAATTAAAACCAGAATCACCTCAGAATCATTGTCGAATCGCCTCCGGAGGCGGTTTTACAAATTTAAGTCAATTCTGATTTTCGATGATTCTCCCACGCTTAAATAAATCAGAATCGCCATCAGAATCGGCGGTCAGAATCGCCTCAGAATCGACGAGAATCATCTACTGTGACTGCCCCTAATCTCCAACAGATAATATTACTGCAGAGGTCCCTAGAAGGAACAAGCAGGTACTGTGCCTATGTACAACACGTCCAATTGTACACTAAGTACAGTCATCTTCGTCCCAGTCACTGTGATAGTTAATCTACTCCACGATTGGTTGCAAAAGAACGTCTCATGAAAAGGATGAGAAGACGGGCAGCTCTACTGACCAGGAATCCTGAAAATCACGGGGAAGAACCGAGGAGTTTTGTCGAACACATTGAGCATGTTGAGCCTTCTCTTCCTGCTGTAAATTTATTGCAATGACATGAAAAAGTAGACTTGAACAATTCCCTGATGGCTCAGGCCCAAGTTCTAAGTCTTTGTCAAATGTAATGATACTCAACAAGGGGATGCATTCCAAGTGCTACCAAGTCTTGCTCAATGTAAGCCAAAGTCGATGAAAATGTATTTTGAACAGCCTCTTCTCAATAATGTACTCTGCAAAATTTTTATGTTACATTGACACAGATGAGCCTGCTTCAATAAAAGTGTAATTCCCCCAGAAAAAGGAGTTCTTGCTTCTTGATGGCTTGGGCCTGAGTCGAACGGGGTTCCTTCTGTTAATGAACTCTCTATCAACCTATGGTAAGCAGCTGCACTCCAAGTGCTACCAAGCCTTTCTAGGTTCTTTCATACCTGGTATGAGTGAGAGTGTTTATTGCAATGGCATGAAAAAGTAGACTTGAAACAATTGGGGAATGGCTTGGGCCCGAGTCGAACGGGCTCCTTCTGCTGAGAAACGACAAACACCAGATATGGTGAGCAGATGCACTTCGAGTGCCACCAAGCCTTTCTAGGCTCTTTCATACTTGGTATGAGTGAGAGTGTTTATTGCAAAGGCGTGAAAAAGGGGAGTTGAACAATTGGTTATGGATTGGACCTGAGTCAAACAAGTTCTAAGTCTCTGCCAAATTTGATGATGTCTAACAAGAAGGAGATGTGCTGCCAAGCCTTGCTCAATTTTCCTGAAGTATGAGGAGTGCACTAAGACTTGGGTGAATTTTACCTTTGAAAAGAGAGGAAAAATTATTCGCAGGCATAATAATGGCTTGGGCCCGAGTCGAACAGGCTCCTTCTGCTAATGAACATGCCAACTGATGTATGATAAGCAGATGCACTCCAAATGCTACCAAGCCTTCCTACTATGGCTAGCTGATGACTGACAAACTAGTTGCACCCTTCAGCGAGGCAGCGGGTTTGGCTAGGGACCCTCTGAACACAGTGAGTGTTTATTGCAATGGCATGAAAAAGTAGGCTCAAACAATTCCCTGATGGCTTGGGCCAGAGTCAAAGAGGTTCTGAGTCTCTCCCAAATTTGATGATGTCTAACAAGAAGGAGATGTGCTGCCAAGCCTTGCTCAATTTTCTTGAAGTATGAGGAGTGGTGCTCAGACTTGAGTGAATTTTACCTTTGAAGAGGGAGAAAAAAATTTGGGAAAGTAACTGCAAATGGCTTGGGCCAGAGTCGAACAGGCTCCTTCTGCTAAGAACATCTGCTAATTGCAATGATAAGCAGATGCACTCCGAGTGCCACCAAGCCTTTCTAGGCTCTTTCATATGTATACTTGGTATGAGTGAGTGAAAGTGTTGATTGCCATGGCATGAAAAAGAAAGGCGAGATTTACTGATGGCTTGGGCCCGAGTCGAACGGGCTCCTTCTGCTGAGAAACCTTCACACCACATAATGATAAGCAGATGCACTCCGAGTGCTACCAAGCCTTGCTGATTGTAAGCCAAAGTTGATGAGAATGTATTTGAACAACCTCTTCTCAGTAATGTACTCTGCAAAATTTTTATGTTACATTAGGATTGTTCACAGTTCCCTTTTTCCTGCCCTTTTTGTCTCCCTTTTTCTGTTCCTTTTTCTGCTCACCAGTCCTTTTTTCAAGTACACCAATAAATAAATTAAATATATTGAATTTACAGTCCCTTGGACTTATTGGGACCATACATGTTTGAAAGGTACCTTCAGAAAGTGACTCGTGAGCCCCAGAGTCGTAGTATCTGCTACAAGATAAAAAAAGGGAAGCAAAAAGGGCAGAAAAAAGGGAGTTCGCATGGGGGGTTTCACAGTAGCCCTTTTTTCTTCCCTTTTTCACCTCCTTTTTCTCTGGTTTTCCGTGGGTTTTGCACTTATACATGGTTTCTTTTCCCTTTTCACACCTTTTTACATGGCTAAACTGAAAAGGGAAAAAAAACGAGCAAAAAACGATGGGAATACCAAAAAGGAAGAAAAAAGGGAAGGAAAAAGGAACAGAAAAGGGGCTACTGTGAACGACTCTATTGACACAGATGAGCCTGCTTCAATAAAAGTCTAATTCCCCCAGAAAAACTGACAATTTCTACATTTCTGCGGCTTGGGCCCGAGTCGAACGGGTTCCTTCTGCTAAGAACATCATGCACCCAAGAAGATGATAAGCAGATGCACTTTGAGTGCTACCAAGCCTTCCTACTCCCTTCTCTTCCTGTTGTAAGGGAGAGTGAAATTTCTTGCAATGGCATGAAAAAGTGGGCTCAAACAATTCGGGATAGCTTGGGCCGAGTCGAACGGGCTCCTTCTGCTAAGAACATCATGCACCCAAGAAGATGATAAGCAGATGCACTCTGAGTGCTACCAAGCCTTTCTAGGCTCTTTCATACTTGGTATGAGTGAGAGTGTTTATTGCAATGGCATGAAAAAGTGGGCTCAAATGATTCGTGATGGCTTGGGCCCGAGTCGAACAGGCTCCAAGTCTCTGCCAAATTTGATGATGTCTAACAAGAAGGAGATGTGCTGCCAAGATTTGCTAGGGTTTTCCCAAAGTATGAGGAGTGGTGCTAAGGCTTGGGTGAATTTTATCTTTTTGTAGAGGGAGAAAAAAAATTGGGAGAGTAACAGCAAATGGCTTGGGCCTGAGTTGAACAGGCTTCCTTCTGCTATGAGCAAAACTGCCATGAATACCCAATGATGAGCAGATGCACTCCGAGTGCTACCAAGCCTTCCTACTCCCTTCTCTTCCTGCTATAAGTGAGAGTGAAATTTATTGTAATGGCAGGAAAAAAGTGGGCTCAAACAATTCCCTGATGGCTTGGGCCCGAGTCGAACAAGCTCCTTCTGCAATGGAAACAATAATCCCTATGATAAGCAGATGCACTCCGAGCTAACAAGCCTTGCTCATTGTAAGCCATGTATTTTGAACAGCTTCTTCTCAGTAATATACTCTTCACAAATTTTATTTTACACAGATAAGCCTGCTTCAATAAAAGTGTAATTCCCCCAGAAAAACTGAGAATTTCTACATTTCTACAGCTTGGGCCCGAGTCGAACAGGCTTCCTTCTGCTATTATACTGCAGACCAAACTATGATAAGCAGATGCACTCCAAGTGCTACCAGGCCTTGCTAGCACCTTGTCTTCCTGCTATAAGTGAGAGTGAAATTTATTGTAATGGCACGAAAAAGTGGACTCGAGCAACTTCCCTAGTGGCTTGGGTCCGAGTCGAACAAGCTCCTTCTGCAATGGAAACAATAATCCTTATGATAAGCAGATGCACTCCGAGTGCTACCAAGCCTTGCTGATTGTAAGCCAAATGTATTTTGAACAGCCTCTTCTCAGTCATGTACTCTGCAAAATTTTTATCTTACATTGACACAGATGAGCCTGCTTCAGTATAATTCCCCCAGAAAAAAGCCTGACAATTCCTACATTTTTATGGCTTGGGCCTGAGTCTAACAGGCTTCCTTCTGCTAATCAAATTACAAACCAGTCCCCAATGATAAGCAGATGCACTCCAAGTGCTACCAAGCCTTTCTAGGTTCTTTCATACTTGGTATGAGTGAGTTTGCTTGCAAAGCAATTTTGTGAAAGAAAAAGGGGATCGACTGGTTTTGGGCAATGGCTTGGGCCCGAGTCGAACAAGCTCCTTCTGCAATGGAAACGATAATCCTTATGATAAGCAGATGCACTCCGAGCTAACAAGCCTTGCTCATTGTAAGCCATCTATTTTGAACAGCCTCTTCTCAGTAATATACTCTTCACAAATTTTATTTTACACAGATAAGCCTGCTTCAATAAAAGTGTAATTCCCCCAGAAAAACTGAGAATTTCTACATTTCTACGACTTGGGCCCGAGTCGAACAGGCTTCCTTCTGCTATTATACTGCAGACCAAACTATGATAAGCAGATGCACTCCAAGTGCTACCAAGCCTTCCTACTTCCTTGTCTTCTCGCTATAAGTGAGTGAGAGTGTTGATTACAATGGTGTGAAAAAGAAAGGAGAGATTCACTGATGGCTTGGGCCCGAGTCGAACAGGCTCTTTCTGCTAAGAACATCATGCACACAAGAAGATGATAAGTAGATGCACTCCGAGTGCTACCAAGCCTTGCTCAGATTTTCCCGGAGTATTATGAGTGTACTATGGGTGAATTTTACCTTTGAAGAGGGAGAAAAAAGGTTTGGAATGTAACAACACTATGGCTTGGGCCCGAGTCGAACGGGCTCCTTCCGCTAACTTGAAGAACATCTGCTAATTGCAATGATAAGTAGATGCGCTCCGGGTGCTACCAAGCCTTGCTGGCTGTAAATCTATTCGAACTTAGACTAGGAGGTCTAACCAATTTCAATTTGGAGTGCCAATGGAGGGTGCATTCATCAAGTCAAGACAAGACATGGATACAGATGCCGTGTAATACTACCTACCTACTTACCTACCTACTGTCGCCCGATTCCCAATTGCAAGTGATGACCTCGCCCGAAGGCCGAGGACGGCGTAGCACGGGTCCAGATGGCTGGTCTGGTGACTTTACCGGCGCGAATCAGCGACCCGCGAATGGCGATTGTGAAGGGCGATAGAGTGGGGTCTTTAAATTGCCTGCATGCGAGGTGCGGTTCGAGGCAGGTAAGCGTAAACGAGGAAACGTGGATTCCAGCGGGAAAGTGGGATGCATGTGCAATGGAGAGGAAGGAAGGAGAAGAAGAGCAACTGGGAGTCTGGATTTATACCGAAAAAGGCAATTAACGTAAATGGATGGTGCCATCCCTCTTCGTTTCTTACTCCCGTCTCTCCCTTGCACGGCGAAGTGAAGGGAAGCAATGTCCACGACGACGACGACGACGACGACGATGGAAGCAGCACCGCACGCGTCCCCCTCACACACAGACTCTACATCCACTTTGGCGACAACCACCACGGCGACAACCACTACCACTACCACACCGACGACGACGACGACGACGACTAGCATTCCTCCGACTAGCACTCCTCCAATGGCCAGGCCAAGCACGACGCGAGTGCGCTTCGACGCCGAGTGTGTGCTGATCCCGGACGTGCTGCCATCCAAGCGCCCCCGGATGCTCACCAAGAGCTACTCGCTCCCGCTCTGGCGCCGCCGCGACCGCGACCGCGACGACGAGGAGCAGAGGGTCATTAGGGTCGCCCTGCCTAGGTGGGTTCCATGTGCTTTCGTTTGCGTTCATTCGTTCGCTCGTTCGTTCGTTCATTCGCCGTTCGTTTCGTATCGTTCGTGTGTTCCGAGCAAGGGCGACTCTCTCTGTCTTTCTTTCTTTGTTGCAACTCCCTCTCCACTCCTCGTCTGCGCCCTGCAGCTACCACCGCCGCTGTCGTCCTACCACCCGACCCTGCCTGCCATTGCCATGTCGTAACCACGACGGATCTACATACATCCCCATGCTCATGGGGATACCACACCACACCGCTTTGCGGGGCTGCTACCGGCTACTGGCTACTGTTGCTCGCTCGCTCCCGTCGTGCAGCCTGTCGCCCGCCCACCCGCCTGCCCTGGTACCCCTCGACGCTAGCGGCCCAGCGCCCCTAACGCCGTAATTGCACGTTTGATTGGATCTTTCATGTTTTTTATTCATGCCCCTGTCGTCATCGCGTCCCTGGTCCCTGTTCCCTGGGGCGCGCTCTTGGGTGCGCTGCCCGCGTTTGTGTTTCTGGGGTAGCTCCCCGCCCTTCCTCTTCGCTCGTCGCGTCGTCCGTCGCCTTTCCTTTCACTTCCTTTTTCGCGCTACGTTCCCCTCTTTCCTTTCCCTTCTCCTTCTCCTATCCCTCTTTTTTTTTCGGTGGTACGCATCTTTCTCGGATTATTCACACTCTCCTACCCGCGTCGTGCTGTATGCGCGAAGTAGGTGTGGGTGCGGTGTGCCCGTGGGCATGCGGTGGACAAGTAGCGCCGACGAGGGACGGCGGGTCGCGTGCATTTTTGCAATTGGTTTCCGCTTTACAGTCGGCGGCCAGGCTGAGCGGGCTCGTGCTCGTGTTTCGTGTTTTCGGGCTACGCGTCGAGTCTTGGTCTCGAGAAGTGCTCGACTTCTGCTTTTTTTTTTCTTAGCAGTGGCGGTGGTGTGCTTTCTTCCTTCCTTCCTTCCTTCCTTCCTTTTTTTCCTTCGGGTGATAGCTGCATATGCCCACCCGTGGCGCAATGCTCGGAACTTCTCTTTTTTTCTTTTTTTCCTTTCTTTTCTTTCTTGTGCCTGGCACGCTCGTGCGTCGGGCGTGGTTTCCCTCTGCTCCCCTCCCTTGATTGTCGAGCTGGCTGGCTGGCTGGTTGGCGTTGCGCGCTTTGCGCAACCGCTATTCTTCTTCTTTCGTCCCGTCGGTTTTACTGCTACTGCTATCCCGCGACCGGGGCGAGGACGAGGGTTAGGACGAGGGCGAGGGCGAGGACGAGGGCGAGGGCGAGGGCGGTGCGGTGCGTGCTGGTGTTTTCGAGGTACTCGTTCCCGCGCGCAAATCCGACCTGTTCATGGGTAGCGCGCCGCGTGCTCGTACTTATTTTCTTTCTCCCTTCTTTCAGCGGTGTGCGGGAGCGCGATTGGTGGTCTGCACGTACGCACGCATGCTTGCTCGGACGATTCGATTCGGTTGCCGTCACCCCATTAGACTTTCTTTCTTTCGCCGTTCTGGTCTGGGGTCCTTCGCATCAAGGCTGCGTTAAATTTGGCTACATCCCCGGTCCCTTCTTTCCAATTCTCCTCTCCTCCTCGCCCCTCCTCGCCTCGTACTAACAATCCCTTCCTTCTTTTTTGCAGCTTCAAGTCCAAAAAATCGACCTTCGCACACGACCGCGGCGCGTCGCGCTCCCCGCCGCGCGACATACCCTCCTGCCTCCGCTCACCGGGCGCCTCGTACCTACCACCGCCTCCCGCCTCTCCCTCCACCTCTACCTCTACCGCGGACGCATCGACACCCCCAGCGCCGGACCTCCCGCCTTTCGCGACCATCTGCGCCGTGTACACAGCCACCCTGCCCGCGGCCCCGCCCGCGTCATCCGCATCCGCATTCGCCTCCACCTCGTCCCCCCGCGCGCGCTCCCCCTCCTCCTCCCCCCCGCACCCGTTCTCCCTCGCCCCCTCCGCCTTCGCGTTCGCGTCCTCCTTCCGCGGCTCCGCGACAGGGGCCGGCGGCGCAGGGGGCGAGGTGCAGGTGCAGCGCGTGCCCCTGCGCGCGTGCTGCCCCGAGTGCGCGTTCCGCACGGACGCGAAGGAGGAGGCGTTCTCGCGCGGCGCGGAGCGCGTGCGGCGGCGGGGGTACGCGTATGCGCTTAGCGGGGCGCACGAGCTTCCGCCGATGCCGCATTCACCTGGGTTCGGTGCCAGCGTTGGCGTTGGCGTTGGCGCGGACGGCGAGGATGGGGATGGGGATGGGGAGCAGCGGCAGCTGCAGCTGCTTTCTGGGAAGGGGTTGGCGGAGGTGAATAGGCTCGTGGCGGAGCTCGAGCTGCGGCGGCGCTCGCGGTCGGCGACGCCGAGTCCGACGAGTGGGACGCCGCCGCTTTCGCCGGGGTATCTTGGGCACGGGCACGGGCATGGGGAAGGGGAAGGGGAAGGAGGACGCGCGTCGCCGAGCTTGTTGGGGCCGGCGCTTGCGCGCGTTGTTGAGGGTGGGAGTGGGAGTGGGAGTGGAAGGGAGAGCCCTGCCCCATATGGGGAGCTGCTTACGGCGCGGTTCCCGCATGCGCACGGGCACGGGCATGGCAGCAGGCACGGGAGCGGGCGCGCGAGCCCCCTCCTCCGGCTTGGGATCGCGGTGGACGAGGTGGACAAGGAGATACGGCGGCGGAGCGGGGGCGCGGAGTTCTTGGGCGGGGGCGGGGTCGTCGTGCTGGGGGAGGAGCCCGATGAGGAGGATGAGGACGAGGATGGGCGGCGGTATCAGGTGCCGAGGACGCCGTCGCCGCACGCGTCCACGTCCACCGCCCACAGCCCCACCTCCTCTTCCCCCCGCCGCTCCTCGCGCCCGTCAGCGAAGCCGATCGCGGCGTACGCAGACGACGACGACGCGGACCTCTTCCCGCTCCCGTCCGCGTCCGCGTCCTCGGCGTCCTCGCGCGGGAGCACGCCCGCGGGCAGCCCGCGCGGGAGCGATCTCAGTGTGCATCGCGTGAGTCCGACCATAGGCGGAGTAAGGGGCGGGAGCCCGAAGGCGGGGGGGCTGTTGCCTGCGGCGCTTGCGGCTGCGCGAGAGCGCAATGGGAACGGGAACGGGACGCCGTATTCGAGGGAGGGGGTGCTGGCGGAGGGGAGCGACGGTGGCGGGCAGGGGCAGAGGGAGAAGGAGAAGGAGAAGGAGCGCAGCCGATCGGAGGCGGTGTGTGTTGCGCTGGGGTCGATGGGGCGGTGGGAGCGCGAGGGCGGGGGCGGGGCGGCGACGGTGGCGATGGCGAAGTGCAAGCGCGGGCTGCTCCTCCCGCCGGGCGACGTGCGCGAGGTGCCGCCGTGCGAGCGGGAGGGCAGGGGAAGGGACGGAGAGACGAGCGGGAGCGGGAGCAGCAGCGGCGACGA